TTCAGTCATCTAATGATGAATTAACTCTATTTGTAATTCATTTAATAAAGTGATTAATAGGAATACTTTCAATTACAATTGGCATAAAACTGTGATTAGCACCACAAATTTCAGAACATTGTCCATAAAGTAAACCTGGTCGATTTATTAAAAAATTAGTTTGGTTTAAACGACCAGGAGTTCCATCAACTTTTACACCTAAAGAAGGAACTGTTCAAGAGTGAATTACACTGTCCCAGTTACTAAGATTCGAATTTGAGAATTTATAGGTAAAATTACTCGGTTATCTACATCTAATAATCGAAACCCATCTGTAGTTAATTCATTTGTTGGAATTATATAAGAATCAAATTCTACATTTGTAAAATCTGAATATTCGTAACTTCAATATCATTGATGTCCAATAGTTTTTAAAGTTACAGAGGGTTCATTAATTGCATCAAATAAATATAATAATCGGAAAGAAGGAAATGCAATAAATAAAAGAACAATAGCTGGTAGAATTGTTCAAATTATTTCAATAGTTTGGCCATGTAATAAATTTCGGTTTGTATAATTATTAAAAAATAATATAAATATTAAATAACCAACTAAGGTAGTAATTATTACTAAAATTATAAGTGTATGATCATGAAAGAATTGTCGCGTAGACGTGTCGCCCCTTGTCAGGCCACCATCGTGGTTGCCCTGGCTAGCTCAGTCATTAGGTGGTCGGGATCCTTAACCCTTGCCACAATGGTGCCGGGCGGACGTGGCGGCTCGTTCACTGGCATAAATATCTCACCCACAGGAAGCCCACCCATCCATGGACCGCCTGATGTGTCTCCTTGCGGCCTCCCTTTTGCCATGCTCCAATGTCCAACCTACCCCCTAGTCATCTTTGCCTCCCCTGCTTAAGGGATTAAGTCCACATTTTAAATTCTTTTACAAACACAATAAAATTTATTACAAAACATTATATAAACATTATAAGGATTTAAAAACAGGAAAAAAGGAAATCAATAAATTTAAGATCGGTTTCAGACCGCCACAACAAAAAGGAACCAATCAAATTGATCACCGTTAAACACGTCTGTTAAACAATATTGAAAACCTGCCACCCTACCTACAAGAGCTCTTTTCGGATGGTGCGAAGGGTTTCCGGGAGCCGAATATTCCCCGCTCAGAAACTACTAAAATTTACCCTTTTGTTTGGGTTCTTCTTGCCTGGCGGGCACAAAGACAATAAAAAAAAACGAAAGTATAAGTATGTACAAACTTCTTAACNATAGTCATCTTTGCCTCCCCTGCTTAAGGGATTAAGTCCACATTTTAAATTCTTTTACAAACACAATAAAATTTATTACAAAACATTATATAAACATTATAAGGATTTAAAAACAGGAAAAAAGGAAATCAATAAATTTAAGATCGGTTTCAGACCGCCACAACAAAAAGGAACCAATCAAATTGATCACCGTTAAACACGTCTGTTAAACACTATTGAAAACCTGCCACCCTACCTACAAGAGCTCTTTTCGGATGGTGCGAAGGGTTTCCGGGAGCCGAATATTCCCCGCTCAGAAACTACTAAAATTTACCCTTTTGTTTGGGTTCTTCTTGCCTGGCGGGCACAAAGACAATAAAAAAAAACGAAAGTATAAGTATGTACAAACTTCTTAACGAATTATCTAAGTAACGAAAATGTATGAACATATATATTACACATAATTCAATGCTCAAAAAAAAAATAATATTTTTGGGACTATACTTGGTACGCGCAGAGTAACATTTATTCCCAATGATTGGGTTATAACATGCCGGTGGTGGTCTTGACTGACCCCTTACACAAACCGGAAAGCTGCTTATTGCTCCTCGATCCGAGCTTTCAAAAATTCCTTTTGCAAAATATCCCTCACGCAAAAGCTTTTGTACGGAATTCTACTATACTTAAGCCTAGAACTCACCAGCGAACTGTGCGAGCCCTTTTTGCCTGCCTTCACACTGGGGTGGTTCACCTTAATCTCCTGGCACACTAGGGACACACAAAAATTTACACTACCACCTGACAAAGTCTATCTTTTCATCACTTACGTGTCGCTGGGGGGGTTCTTCTACGGGTCTAATGGTTTGGGCCTTATCTGGTCGTCACCGGTGCTGACTAATCCTCCTGCCTTGGTGAGGGTAATCTCGGCTTCTGATGGTCACGTTCTGCCGGGCGCTTAAAGATAATTGTGGGCTCTTCGCCTACACTCCTCACAATTCTTTTTTTTTCACCTCGCCAGGATACGGGACATTATCCCGACTTTGATAAAGTAGCAATCTTGCAAGAAGAGAAAATCTATAATAAACGCTATGTTTTAAAGATGCTACATATTATGAACACCCCTAATCACAAAAGGATGAACTATAAAACGGACACCGCCAATTGCGCTCACGTTTATCGCAAATTAGTTCTAACGCACAACAACAAACCTACAGTGTAGGTGTCGTGTGATCGTGTGTTCATGTTAAACTTATCGTCCGTCCGCTGCCAAGATTTCTTCGGACAACAACATTGCTCTGCTGAGATGAGATACAAACATTTCTTCGTCTTACTGTTTAGCACTTCATGTATTGTTGTTTGTATAAAAATTTTTGTTTACAATTACTGTATTTTAATTATTAGTTCTCCTGTTTATGTTTAATATCTTCTTCGTGCTTGTTTGTTATTATACATTTTAACATATGATTAGTCGACCGGACAACGCTAATAGTGTAAGTCGTTTTAATGCACTTGTGCATATGTATGTTTTTGTTGCTTTATATTGTGATGATGTAAAAATATTGTTTCCTTTTTTAGTGCTGAAGATGCCTTCAGACTAAGGCGAAATATCGACCAAAATAAAACTAAAAAGTAAATAAAGCAGAAAAACATTTAATGTTTTATTTAACATACGGCCTATAGCTCAAAAATAAATTATTAAAATAAATATTTGTTATACTCCAAATTTGTTATAGTTTGATATAATTCCATATATTTGTGTAAACATAGACGTAAAATATCAATGGCATACATACATACATATCCTTTAAAGTACAAAACCGCGTTTCAAGAAAATCACAAAACCTCGTATGAGAGGTTGCCAAGATTTTTGTTTTTCAAAACGGTTATCTCTTTTATCCCTAATTATCTCCTCTTCTTATATCCAAGTATCGATATTTAAGTATAAATGGATAAGGGCTAAATGCCAAGAGCTTTCGGTGATCAAAAATTTTTTGCCACAAATGCCATTTACGAGATTTTGCAGGACGACGATACGCTGTTTTGTGCTTTAAATGACGATATGTACATACATACATGCATCTGCTACACGCTATTTAATGACTTTTAATGATAGTTTAACAACAATTTATTAGCAAAGGAACTTAATTACTTTAATATCATAAAAAAATATTTACAAAATACATATTTAAATTAATTAAAAAAATATATATATTTATTTCTCTTTAAAAGCATAACATCTAAAAGATTAATTGAAAATAATAATAATAAAAATAAGAATAAAACAAGCTCCGCTGCCCGACGACTCCGACTCGAACTCGGTTCTCTCAATTGGCAGTCTAGTGCTTTGCTCACTCGGCCATTGCGACTGCTGGGGCAGCGTGAGCAAAATGGCATACATAACTTCGGGTTTACACCGGACAATATTGTCATGACAATAGCAATACATGCACACTTCTTCACTAATACATGCATACATTTCCACACATTGCGTTTTTGACAACTAATACGTATTTCTTTATTGTCTTGACAGCATTGTCCAATGTAAACGCGCTGTAAATGTCTATTGTTTCCTTTGCACTAGCTGGTTTCGGATCAGCATTCTAAGCTGACGATATTTTCGAGTTCACCCGGATTCAGTGATAGCAATTTTTTCGTATTCGTAGCAGGCATTCGAATTCGTAGATTTTCTACGATGGATTCCGTGTTAGCCCTGAATATATTGCTTTGAACAAACTAATGGTACTTTGGGAAGGCTTTTTTCCTTCGCGTCACAGGCTTCTAACCACTTATTTCTAATAAAAGATAAAATTTCAAAATTTTCCCCTCTGCAATTCCTGCACAAATGCATAGAATTCCTTCAACTTTTAAACGCGCGACAAATAATAAAAATAACTTATTTGTTGTAGTTGGAGCTTGATTTTGATGAAGAATTCGTAATGCCAACAAAAGTCAAATGGATGAAAGCTTAAACAGAACCAAATCGCTCTGCGGATTTCGGCGGACGGACCGATGCCGACGGGTGATACACGCCGCAGCATTTCGCCCAGTAAAACAGAATAGAAACAAACACGAAAAGATGAATCATCAAATTTTACCATTCTGATTCTTTCGGATAATTATCTGCTAAAAAGTTAAGAAACAAAGCTACTTTTCTACTGAGAGCTGATTTTGTGACGGGCGGCAGCGGAAAAATTAAAAATAAATCTACTCTCGCCGAATTTCGTCAGACGAACTTCTTCGTCGCTTTGAGTGCAATCTAATATACAGCAGTGTGTTTTAATTTTGAAAGCGAACTATCTTCCAACGAAGTCCTCCCAGCGATTTGATTCTGTTTATACTTTAACATGGCATGCAAATTCATTAAGTGAAAGCAATAAAGAAAACAAATAGTCACATAGATATATGAATGAGCAGAATGAAAATATTTTTATTATCTCAAACACATATGAAAAAATATCGCAAATACTAAAGCCTTTATATACATACATACATATGTACATATGAAGTCCGCAACGTCTATTCACCAGTAAATGCGGCTGCAAGCGGGTGTCTGTCTTGGAGAAAGCGGCTCGCTATATAAACGTGTATTTGGTTGCGAAACCACCCCCGTCCCACCAATGGGTTGTGCGCTGGGTTTGGGACCCGCCCTTATTATGACGACCACGGTAAATGTTTAAAGGACTACGATTTGATGGCATGCGCCTGGAATGTCTGGACCCTTAATGGGAAAGTTGCCTCTGCTCGGCTCTCGCTCATCTGCGCCCATGCCCCGATGGAAGAGAAAGCTGAAGTATCCAAGGATCTCTTCTATGAGCGCTTGGAATGCACGTACGAGCGCTGCCCCGTCACGATATCAAAATCGTGCTTGGCGACTTCAATGCCAGGGTGGGAAAGGAAGGGATCTATTGAACCACCGTCAGAAAATTCAGTCTCCATGACGAAACGTCCGACAACGGACTGAGGCTGATCGATTTCGCCGGGGCCCGAAACATGGTAGTATGCAGTACTAGGTTCAAGCATAAAAAGATTCATCAAGCTACGTAGCTGTCTCCGGATCGAACAACGAGAAACCAAATCGACCATTTTGTGATAGACGGAAGGCATACGCACCCGCCTCTGTGCAGCAACAAATGTGCGCCCGAATGTGCAAGAAAAGCTTAACGACGAAAAGCTGCAATCACAAAAAAGAGCCAGTACATTCGCTACTCGACTCTCACACCTGCTCTCAGAGAGTACTCTTCAACAAACCGATATATGCGAGCAGTGGAACCACATTTCCCGCTCATTAAGCACCGACAGCGAAGAAGTAGTCGGATTTCAGCGGGCCCGAAAGAACAACTGGTACGATGAGGAGTGTCAGGAAGCTGCAGAAAAAAAAGATGCCGCGTACAGGGCCACGCTGCGATCGAGCGCAACGCGTGCTATGTGGGACCGCTATAGGGATCTGAAGAGGGAAGCGAGACGTATTTGCCGCACTAAGAGAGAGGCTGAAATACGTGAGTGCGAAGAGCTTGAAATGCTGGCCGACAGGAAGAATGCCCGAAAATTTTACCAGAGAGTTAGGCGACTTACGGAAGGTTTCAAGACCAGGGCGTACTCCTGTAAGAACAGCAATGGCGACCTAGTTACCGATGTTCAGAGTGTACTTAAATTATGGAGGGAACACTTTTCCACGCTAATGAATGGTAGCAGCACGGAAAGTTGTGGAGAAGAAGAACCCCATCCGATGATGACGGAGAAAATGTTCCTCCGGCTGACCATGACGAGGTACGAATAGCAATAACGCGGCTGAAAAACAACAAAACTGCTGGAGCTGAACGCGTGTCAGCTGAGCTGTTGGCGGTGGCGAGGAGTTGGTAAGGTGCATGCAGAATATGGTCAGATAAACGCATGCCCGACGACTGGAATTTCAGTGTGCTCTGCCCAATCCACAAGAAAGGCGCCAACTACAGCGGGATCAGCCTTCTAAGCATAGGTTACAAGGTCTTATCGAGCGTATTGTGTGAAAGACTGAAGCCCACCGTTAATGAAGTGATGGGGCCTTATCAGTGTGGCTTTAGGCCTGGAAAATGCCCCATAGACCAGGTTTTCACAATACGCCAAATCTTGGAAAAGACCCGCGAGAAAAGAATTGACACTCACCACCTATTTGTCGACTTTAAAGCCGCTTGCGATAGCACTAAAATGAGTTGCCTATACGCCGCTATGTCTGAATTTGGCATCCCCGCCAAACTGAGACCTCTCCGAGCCGTTCGCCACCAAACGGGGATTCAGACAGGGCGACACTCTTTCATGTGACTTCTTTAATCTGATGTTGGAGAAGATAATAATAGCTGCAGAACTGAACCGCTCAGGAACAATTTATTACAAGAGCGTGCAATTGCTGGCTTATGCCGATGACGACGATACCATCGGAATCAAAAACCGCGAAGTCTGTTCCGCCTTTTCCAAGTTGGATAAGGAAGCAAAGCGAATGGGTCTGGTGAAAAACGAGGACAAGACGAAGTATCTCCTGTCATCAAACAAACAGTCTGCATATTCGCGCCTTGGCACCCACGTCACTGTTGACAGTTATAATTTTGAGAAAGTAAAGAATTTCGATTACTTGGGAACCAGCATTAACACCGATAATACGTCACTAGAGACGAATAAAGGCGCGCTAGTGTTTCGACGGCGAAAAAAGACGCGCTCGCGCTCGGGCCCTGCGTACCCCGCGTGACCGGCGCGCACACAACGTAACGCGACGCCGCGGCACATTTCAGTACATTTTTGTGAAATCCTTTGCGTGCACTTCTTTTTCTCAACTAAAATTTTCTAATTTATAAATGCTATTCAACTGGTTTATCTTATTTTATCATTGCACTTTTGTTTGGATAATGTAGCTTTATTTTATTGCTAAATTTGAATGATTAAAAGGAATGACACCTTTTTTGGCCATTTTATTTTTCTATTTGGCACATTTTGGAACTTTTTTATCTTCAATATGGCACCTCATAACTAAGGATAGTTTAGTTTTAGGGCAACAACTTGTCTGCAGTAAAAAAGCATATAATTTGTGTTTCAAAAGTGTGTGAAAACCAATCAATTAACTTATATGATCTCGGTTCCGATATTAAATAATCAATAATTGTTTATACCCGCATTTTGGCACATTGGCTCGTTGAATGTGCCATCTAATAAATAGTGTCGTCATTCTCCTTAGCTGCTTTTAAATGATGTCGTCACAAATTGCTGGCGGAGACATGAATACAGTGTAAGAAAATTCTTTTTCTATAATTGTTTCCTTATAGAAAGGTTGGTTTCTTTTCCACCTTAGACATTCCGAATTCGTTCAAAATATGCTAATTTAAAACACAGAATTCTTTCAGTGTTCCTCCGGGGTTTTTGGACATGGACTGTTTCATCAATTTAATAGTGTTCGCTTTATTTTTGTGGAAACGAAACATGTTTTGCAAGTTATGGATCATTTCTACACTCTTTCTTCAAATATTTCTCGTATTCCAGCTGTGCGCAGGCGTTTAGTTTTTCGCATCGTGTTTTTACATATTCGTAATTTAAATTTTTT